TTCCCATTTAAAAAAGCTGAACGGGCTGGAGAGATGGCTCAGAGGTTAAGAACACTGGTTGTTCTTGGAGAAGACCCGGGTTTGAATCCCAGCACCCACATGGCAGCTAACAACTCTCTGTAACTCCAGTTCCAGGGGATCCAACAGCCTCTTCTGTCCTGCACGGGCATTGCATGACACGGGTATGCTTAACCTACATGCAGGCAATACACGCATACGCATAAAAAAGAATTTTTTTTTTTAAAAGTAGCCACTGTAATAAACCATTTAAGCTTTCTTTTTGCCTTTACTATATGGAGGATAACTATAGTGTGCAACTTTTAGATTAATGGGCAGAAAGGGTGAAAACCACTGTGTTAAATAAGCACTATAATAACTATTGAATACTTTAAGTTGAATGCTTTTCCATTCTTCTGTTAAATACAGGGTATATTTACTTCTGGCACATGGGAAGAGAAATCAGATGAAATTTCTTTTGCTGACTTCAGGTTTTCAGTCACTCATCATTATCTTATACAAGAGTCTACTGATAAAGAAGGAAAGGATGAAGAATCAGAGGGTAGGTTTTTTTATCCTATTTGTAAAATCTTGACTTTTAAGAGTGGCTATAATTTTTAGTTACTAATTTATTATTGATTCTTATAATTAAGTAGTATCCACAGTGATAGATGAAGAAGCCGATAGATGAGTCGGGTTGATCGACAGAAAGCACCAGGACACAGATAAAAACTCTCGGCAGGGTAGAGTTTTATTTCACACAGGACAAGTTCCCTTCAGGGGAGGGAAAAATGTCAGCCCACGGGTTGTGAGCTGGGGACATTATAGGAGGGGCTTCGGGGGGTGCAGAAGGCGGGAAGATATATTTTTTTAAAGATTAGGTGGGAGGAAGCAGGAGAGCTAGACTGTTAAAACACACCCCCTTTTGAGATCAAAGGGAAAGCCTGCTTTGCTGGCCAAATGGTGCAGAAAAGTCCGCTTCTCTTGACTTCAAAGACCAGGGTGCTTATCAACTCGGTTCCTCAGGGGTTTGTGAAACCCATGAGGCCCTGTTAGGGAGGGGGGCTGCTGTGGATCTAAACCCTAACATTCCAGCCTTTTGTATTATAGGATAGGGGGCACCATTGTCATCTTGCTACTTCCTGCTGGACAGGGTCGACGTGGGGGTGGGGACTGAGGGTTCCATCAGACAGTGGGGGTTCCCTCTTTGTGCATCTGAACAGGGTCCTAGATGGTTGACAGGTGCTCGTATACATGTGGAGGGAAGGAAAGTAACAACTGATTAAAATTAGTATGAGTGAGTCTTTGGATTTGGTCCTGAAAATATCTGAAGAGGCAAGGAGCAATGGTTAGCACCAAGGTAATAGCTTTGTTTTTTTTTTCTCTTTTGTCAAGGCTGGACTCAAGAGTGATGGACTCAGCCTTTGTTTTCAGGCATTTTGATAGCTGTTAGAGTGGCTAGAATCAGTGTCAGTTACCTCTCAAAGGCTTCTACATAGGGAGAGAAAACAAATTTAGCCATCATTTAATTTTTTTTTTCCTTCATTTAATTTTTTAGGCTGGAACAATAGTGGGTTGTCTCCCTTAGCTGTAGGTGAGCACTACAGTATTGCAGACCAAGATTTGAAGTCTTACATCTGAATAGCAGTGTCGTATTAGCAGTGTCATATTAGGAACAAAATCATCAATGAGAGATAATTGTCTAAATAACATAAGAACTTAAGTCTAATGTCTGGGTTGTATAATCCCTTGAACTCTTAAATTTACTGATGACTTTAATTTTTGGTTATACTTTCCTTTTGGGTGTTTAAGACCATACTGTTAGCCCAAATAAACCAATTTATTTTTACTCTTAAGGTCATATGAGGATTTCGCCCTCATGTGCTTGGGGGGAGCCCCTGGCTCCTCAGGCTTCTCTTTTTACCAGTTCCATCTATGTGAAGATAAGTCAAGAAGTCCTGCTTGACCGGGGCTTCACTTGTGTCCTAGTCTGTTTCTCCATTGCTGTGATAAAAACACTCTGACCACTACCAACTTGGGGAGGAAAGGGTATTTGTCTTACGTCTCCCAGGTCGCAGTTCATCGGGGATCCCAAAGCAGGAACTCAGGGCAGAAACCTGGAGTCAGGAGCTGGAGCGCAGGCCATGGAGAATCACTGCTTACTGGTTTGCTCCCCTGGCCCCTGCTCAGCCTGCTTTCTTATGCAATGCAGGCCCACCTGCCCACCGGTGGTACCACCCACAGTGGGCTGAGCCCTCCCACATCACTCAACAATCGAGAAGGTGCCCCATGGACATGGCCATAGGCCAGCCCAATGAAGGAAATTCCCCAATTGAGGCTCCCTCAATCCAGGTGTGTCAAGTTGACACTAAAGCTCTCTAGCACAATTGACCCCTTGTCAACTTGACACAAACACATCACTATTAAACCATAACCTTTCCAATTCTTGTCCCCAAGATATGATGTTAATATTAATATCACAACATAAGACAGTACAACCTTAAAAACTCCACAGTCCTTTTTAAAAAAAAATGCACTTAAAAGTCCATAGTCTCTTTTAAAAGTCTCTTAACTGTGGGTGGGCTTCTGTAAAATCCAAAACAAGTACTATCTTATTTCAAAGGGAAGAATTGGGCACACCTAAGCAAAACCAAAGTAGCTCAAGGCTGGACATCTGGGATTCACTCAACGATTTTCTGGCTCTGAAGGGTTCTGGCAACTCCACTTCTGACTCTGCCATCCACAGCACCCAGACACATCTCGCAGACCCAGGCCAGCTCCATTCTATATCTACTGCTGTCCTTGGTGGTCGTCCCATGGTCCTGGCATCTCCAAAAAGCTGGGGTCTCTACTGAAACTGAGGCTACACCTTCACCAATGGCTTCTTCTTGTCTCTTGGGGTGCAAGCCTCAGATTCTCTCCATGACCCCTTCAATCCTGGGATCTTCACTGCAACTGAAGCTACACTTTCACCTATGGCCTTTCCTGGCCTCAGAGTGTCAAGCCTCAGCTGCTTTCTGTGACCCTTTCACGTTTTCAACACCAGAACCATGCAGGAGACTCTTACACATTACCAAGTCCTGCTTCTAACTTGAGATGGACACTCAGGTCCCCTCTGTATGCTGACCCTGAGGAAATACCTCCCAGAAGATTTCACCTCAGGGATGCTGGTCTCTTGTTACTTACAGCTGATTTTTCAGCCCCAGCTAACCAGCATCAATTGTCCCATCAATTGGTTTTGCTTCAGGTTCTGGTCTCTTCTTAATCACAACTGATTCTTCAGCCCCAGCCGACCAGAAAGATGAACTCACCGAGAGAGAGAGAAGGCAAGCAACAAAAAGCAAAAAAAAAAAAAAACCCCTCTCCTCTACCATGGCCTTTTATATGGCTGCCTTCAGAAGGTAACACCCACATTTAGGGTGTGTCTTCCAGCTTCAGATGATCCAATTAAGAAGATCTCTCTCATTTCAGTTAATCCCAGATCCAGTCAAGTTGACACCCAGGATCAGCCATCACAAGTTCACCCCTTGTCAACTTGACACCCAATAGCATCTCTCTATGTTATGCTTAATTTTCAAATGAAAACAATGTTGTGGTCATTAATTTCACCTAACATGATATGACTAATCCATCATACAATGACCAGTGCATTACGTATCTTAGAGTAGCTGATAAGGTCTTCGAGGAAAGCTTAGTCCTTTAGTAGCTGCTAACCCAATATGATCATATAGGTTCACAACACTTAACCACTTAACACATCTCAATTACACATTCATAAAAAGAATAACACAAGTATCTGCTTAACATATGTGTATACATACACAAGCCTATTCTTAACCGAATAGGACAAAAATACTTAGGTCAGTTATAATCCATGTTTCTGCAACTGGTCACATGGCCTAAGTTGGTATTTGTAACTACCTTCCTCTACTACCCATTCTGTATTTCCTCCACCATCAGCAAGCACCTCTGTAGGTCTTGGCTCTTTCCCTGGAGGAGTGACCCATACTTTCATCCCTGAGGGGTCTGGGCCATTTGTTGTGTCTGGATTGGGTTGTTGCAGTTTCCCATTGACCTTAATCACAGGACATGGTAACACAAAAAGTTGCCCTAAGGAATCTCCTGCCTTCCAGATACAATCTTAATTATCTCCATTGTGAAGAACCAGTCCAATTTCCCCCTGGTAGTCTGGGTCAATCACCCCTCCTAATACTGTTATTCCTTTCTTAGCCTGCTGACTTAAGGGCATCAGAAGCCCAAAGTGTCCAGGGGGAAGTCTTAGCTTCCAGTTCAATGGA